AATGTCTACATAGTCAATTACGGGAAATTCAGAATGATAAATTTCAGGCTTTGAGGGTGCGAGCTGGGATTGAGGAGGTGCTTTGGGGGGATAAACCCTCAGTTGGGGTTCTGCGTAGTTTCAGAATGCGACGGATGGCGACGACAGTTTTGTCAGTAGTGGTCGGTGATGAATTGGGTGGTTATCATAAAGGACAAAGGCTAGTTACTACTGAGAGCATTGGGACCTATGCAGACCAATGGTTTGAGAGAAAATGGAAGGGTAGAGAGGGGAATCGAGAGGCGAGGGAAGCTTTACTGCGTGGCATAGTGGCAAATTTGAGAGACGTGGATCGAGAGGACATGGAGGGTTGTATATCGGAGGAGGAGGTTTCCAAGGCTGTTCAGGGACAGGCACTGAGGAAATCACCTGGTTAGGATGGGATACCAGGTGATTTTTATGTCGTTCATTGGGAACTGTTAAAACACATGTTGGTTCGACTTTACAATTCAATGAAAACTAGAGGTAGCATGGGCGGTGAAGCGGGGTTGGGTGTTGTAGTATTGGTACCAAAGGCCGAGGTCTGTGAATCTTTGGAGGCATATAGGCCCATCATATTGATGGGGGCGGATTATAAGATTTTTGCGCGTATTTTGGCAAACCGGATGAAACGAGTTTTGGACAAGGTAATATGGGAAGGGCAATACGGGATTCCTGGCCGATCTATGAGAGATGGTCATCGTCGCCTCAAAAGTTTCGTGAAAGATTGTAGTGGAGGCGGAGTCGTAGGATTGGATTGGGAAAAGGCTTTTGACAATGTGGATAGGGAAACATTATTAGCTATATTATTGAAGCAGGGTTTCGGGGAAGAAATAGTAGCGTGGGTACGTATGTTATATACGGAGGCACAGGTACGAGTCCAGGTTAATGGGAGGGTGGGGTCCACGATAGGCATGGGGTGGGGGCTGCGGCAGGGGTGTCCCCTCTCGCAGCTTTTGTTTGCCTGTTTGCAGGACCCCTTTTATAGATTGGTAATGGGTGGGGTGGGGGGGGAGGATTGTGCACAGGAAGAAGCAGTAGAAATTTTAGGTTATGTGGACGATACCACCATCTTGGTGCATAGTAGGAATGGTTTAGCGTTCATAAATAAGGTTATAAGGTTTTTTAGCGATTCGTCTTCCATGCGCATTAATAGAGAAAAATCCAAACTTTTGGAGGTGGGGTCCTGGGTGGGCGGGACGTTAGGTACGGAGTATGGGTGGAGAACCGTTGAGCGGATAAAGATCTGTGGTGTGCATTTTTGCAATGACGAACAGGCAGCGCGTGCATTTAATTCATCCATTGTAGTTACAGCTGCAATTCGTAGGATGGCGGGATGGAGACCAGGTGATGTAACATTACACCAAAGAGTAATAGTTGTCAACGTACTGGTGTATAGTAAATTATGGTTTGTTTCAGCGGTCTATCCATTGATGACGGACGATGCGTTGCGGTTACAGAGGAAGGCTTTGGATTTCATATGGGGTTACCGTAGGCATTGGTTAGGGAAAGACATAGTTATGACGCACGTAACTCGAGGAGGTTTGGGGCTAATACCACTACACAGTCGACTAATGGGCATATATGTACGACAGGAATACCTAACAAGGGTGGGGTCAGGGGAGTGAGAGTTGATGCAGTGATGAGGGAGGTTCGACGATGGTGGGTGGGGAAGGACCTCACAAGGTGCGAAGCAATGTTACGGCACTTATTGATGGTGCAAAACCCTGTGAGAGTTAAGGCAGGTAAACTAGATAATATAGGTATAACATCGGCGGAAGTCATCGGTGCTGAGGTTTTCCCAGGATATAATTGGAAGACTATATGGCAGGGGTTCAAGAAATTGCGCTTACAACCACGGGTTAGGGAAACTGGTTACCGATTCCTCCTCGGGATTTTGGCGTCCAAGGCACAATTGTACATTATGGGAATGACCCAGGATCAGACCTGTGCGTGGTGTGGGTGGCCGGAAACGGCGTTTCATGTCGTATACTTTTGTGACAGTTTACATAAGGTTAGGGATTGGTTCAAGGTGTGTCTCCGAAGAGTGGGAGGGGGGGTTTGTCGATGCTTAGAGTTTTGAGTCTTGAAATGGGAGATTGCTCAGATGCTGTACGACGTTCTGTGTCATATTTGGTACTTGACTATTTATATGTGTCATGGGGTATGCGGGGGCTTAGGGGTGCGATGCGTGTCAAGGCACTGATGTGTCATGTTTATAGGACGAAATGTAGGAATAGAGAGGTATATGGGCAATGCTGGGAGGGAGCTTTTTCTTTGGGGTATAGGAATCTAACGATGGAAACGTTACGGGAGTAATGAGGTGGGGGTAGGTATAATCGCTTGGTAGGGCCTAGGGGTTGGTCTCCCGGGGGGGGGAGAGAAGAGTTAGTTTTTTTTTTTTTGGGCGTCTGGACTGTATGTTTTATTTGGTGTGTATGGTGAATCTGGGTGTAATGTAGGGTGAAGGAAGGGAACCTTGTGTGGTCTGGGGTATAGTGTCTTTCTGGCGTGAATGAGTATCATAGTCTGAGAAAGGGGGGGGGGAGTGGTACTCAGAACCAAGGTATGGTTTTCTTATGCTGAGTCATGTTGAACCACTAAGTCACCAACAGAGGCTACGCCGTGTTTAATGTTTATGTTATACAAAATTTTCTAATTTGCCAGGTTGGTGTTAGTTGCATATAGTGTGAATTGTTTGGAGTTTTGTAATGCAATTGTTTTTGCGATGTATTCTGTGTGCACCTGTTAGTACTGGTTTTACTAAGTACATAAGAGTCACAGCAATGTATGTCATGCGACCTGCGAGTCGTAAAGTGTGTGCTGGAAGATTTGTGTTTTAATTAATGGTAGAAGTTTTAAGTGGGTAATAGTCTTAACATGTTTGTTTCAAAAAACACTTCTTTCCTATGTTGTGCTATAATTTATATGATGCGGTCTTCTTGAGTGGTCCATTATTGTGCCAAGTACTGTATATTACATGCCTCTCGATATCTTACTGATGATATTGACTATTTCACTTTTGTTACAAGGTATGGATCGGTTGTAAGCACATTTGGTAGTAGGGAATAATTGGTGGGGTGAAGTGGGTTTCTGCGGGGGGGGGGTTGATGGATGACTGCTTTAGGATAACCATAGTAAAAGTTTCTGTGTATTACGTCAGTTGTCATTCTATTGTTTATGCCATGCATTATTGTAAGCAGTACGATTATTTCCAGTGTATTATGCAGACACAGATTTTTACATATCGTGGATATTTTTTTTGTGTGTAACCACGGTATAGCTTTGTTTTGCAGGGTAGCTCCATTATGTTTTGTTGATATTATACGTCTTGGTCTGTATCCTAGGAATTGGGAAGGGGTTTTGCTTTTACACAGAACACTGATGTGTGTATGTAATATTATTTATTGGATAGCAGTCCTGTAACGCTTTCTCATTTTGATTTATATTTGTTGTATGGATTTTATTAATAAAATATAAAAAAAAGCTACCAATAAACAAATTTTATGTTGTTAATCTGAGTGTACCGAGTACAGTTGATAATAGCAGCACACGAAATTACTGAATAATTCCCGTAGAATAACGATGAACAATTATTTGTTTTACAATTTATGTACTCCATTTTTTTAAGATTAAGAGAAGGTAAACAAAGTACTATTTTTCCAGTTTTAATTTGGAAATGGTACAGCAGTATTTTCCATTAAACATCTGGAGTGTGCGGTTTATGAATGTCTTCAGCCTTAAGCGGCTGATTTGTTACGAAATGGATGAATCTTTTTGGGGGTTAGAATATTACAAAAATCCTAATGGAAATAAGTCACTGGGTAGCTAACCCTCCAGGGTTAAAAATCCGAACAAAATCTTATCTGACTTTACGTGGTTATCCCAGGTAATTTGCACATATGCTGATATATATGATAATTTGTGTGTACCTGTATCTGAATTACCTGGAGTATATCTGGAGACGGTTTCGGGGGTCAACGCCCCCGCGTCCGGTCTGAGACCAGGCCTCATGGTGGATCAGGGCCTGATCAATCAGGCTGTTACTGTTATCCGCACGCAACCCAATGTACGAATCACAGCCCGGCTGGTCAGGCACTGACCTTAGGTGCCTGTCCAGAGCCTTCTTGAAGGCAGCCAGGGGGTCTGTTGGGATTATCAATACAGGATAACTTTCCTGGCTCACTGAGGTAAGGAGACTAGAGTTATCAATACAGGGATACCTTTCTGGTATCACTGGAATACAGTGGACTGGGACTATCAATACAGGGATACCTTTCTGGTATCACTGGAATACAGTGGACTGGGACTATCAACACAGGGATACCTTTCTGGTATCACTGGAATACAGTGGACTGGGACTATCAACACAGGGATACCTTTCTGGTATCACTGGAATACAGTGGACTGGGACTATCAACACAGGGATACCTTTCTGGTATCACTGGAATACAGTGGACTGGGACTATCAACACAGGGATACCTTTCTGGTATCTTGCAGCGACGGAAATTCGTCTAATTAATACACTTTTTGTTGTTTTATAGGTATAATGTATTTATAGGATTATTAATTGATAGTCAAGGAATTTTTTTTTATTTATTTAAAAAAATACACATACTGTATTTTTGGTTAAATATATGAATGTATACGGTTCTAAATTAAGATTTTTCTGTATAAAAAACGTCATAAACTACGTTTATACGTATAAACAGGATATATACAACGAGAGGTGCATGTCTCTCAGCGAATATATTTATATATATATATATATATATATTTATATATATATATATTATATATATATATATATATATATATATAATATATATATAATATATATATATATAAAATATATATATATATATATATATATATATATATATATATATATATATATATATATATATATATTATATATATATACTAGGATTTTTTCTTACTTTAATCCCTATTTTAGGTTTAAGAGTATTTTTGTCTGGTGGTGAGAATGGTATGTACAGCCTTAATGATCCTAGTGTAGTTGATAGGCTTTAATCCCCATTAACCAACCTTATATCATTACCGCTGTGCCAACATTATGTACATTATACCGAGGTTGAGTTCGATGTGGTTCGCGGTATGGTCTCGACCCGGGCCATTGTACTGAGAGCTGTTTTGGGGGACTCCTCTTACCAGATTCCATGCACAACTTCGAGAGCAGGTATGATACAGGCCGTAATGTGAGCATCAGCATGTGACCGTCAAGAACCGAGATTCGACCCCCTCGCAGTTACAAAGTGAATACATCAGTATATGGCAGCTTGACTTGGGGAATCCTTTCTTATTGTTTGTGGGTAGGTAATTTTGTCTTCCCTAAGCTGTCGTTAGCTCTCAAATTAGAAAGCTCAGTCCCTAAGGATTTAAAATTAATATCGGTTGCTTGTTGTACACTGTCCTGAGGTGGCCTGTTTGTCATTCTGTAATTCTTGTTGGTTCATAAGGTCGAATGATTTATCGTCTTGTATGCTAGTAAGGTCGAGTGATTTGTCTTGTTTGGTAGTAAGGTCGAGTGATTTGTCTTGTTTGCTAGTAAGGTCGAGTGATTTGTCTCGTTTGCTAGTAAGGTCGAGAGATTTGTCTTGTGTGCTAGTAAGGTTGAGTGATGTCTTGTGTGCTATTAAGGTTGAGTGATTTGTCTTGTGTGCTAGTAAGGTCGAGAGATTTGATTTGCTTGCTAGTAAGGTCGATTGATTTGTCTTGTTTGGCAGTAAGATCGATTGATTTTTCTTGTTTGCTAATAAGATCGAGTGATTTGTCTTGCTTGCTAGTAAAGTCGAGTGATCTGTCTTGTTTGCTAGTAAGATCGAGTGATTTGTCTTGTTTGCTAGTAAGATCGAGTGATTTGTCTTGTTTACTATTAAGGTCAAGTGATGTGTCGTATTGCAGAGGCTCGTTGTATCTCGGGGATCCTCGTCGTAACCATGGAACTGCAATGATCACAGATTTCAGTTAATACTGAGTGTTCTTACCACACGAACTGTTAGTAGTTCAGCAGTACCCAATTTTGGATTTATAAGTTTAAAAAATATGAAGTAAACTCGCCAGAATCTAATTACGTAAACACACTTCCGAGTAACTGTATTATATTTGCGACTGGTTGTACACAATCAGTGGCACAGTCTACTGTATCAGGCTGTAAACACCATGATTTACCCTAGGAGGGTGGGGAGAGTAAAAATTATCTGTGCGGGATACCTTTCTGGGATCTTTGGTTGTTGGTTCTCGCCAATATATAATTGTTGCATTCCAGTTATTAACATACACGACAGTTACTAAGTTAAAGTAACTTAATCATAAATTAATTTTTTATTAAATATATTTGTTCAGTGCGGCCAGCAGTAACATCTTGGTTGATCAGGACCTAATCCACCGAGTCCTGGTGATGGACTGGACCGTGGGGGCGTTGACCCCCGGAACGTCTGGGCTTTATTTCTAGTAATGTAATTATACTGAAGGAGAGAACTAAACCTGTTAGGGGGGGAGAAAACTATTTGCAAGACAATGTAGTACATGTCTGCAGCATGTTATCACTAACAGTGTGACTGGTCAGAAAGAGCGGGTCGAGGTTAACGGGCGATCGAGCCTTCACTATTCCTTGCTCTACATTACCCACACGGTTTTAATAATTAATGAAATGCTATCTACAATATGCAGCAAGTTATATTTTCTATTTGGTTTTTCAGACTGAGGATGTGTGAGATCTTAACCTACTGGAAATACTCACCATGTATGCTATCAATGGGGATCCATACGTCCAGTGGCTCCCCATTCACCCCATACCTCATGTTCTCCATCAGCCTGACGTGACTCTCAGAAACCTTGGATTCCTGGCCGTTCAGAGGTTCGGGAAGAGGCTGCGATACCTCGTGCATCGGCCGGAAGTCCTTCTCGATCTCGTTACCCGACGGGAAACGAACGCCTCTGATGGTTGGCTCCTGAGGGATGGGTGTGTACTCTGCAAGAGGTTCCTGGAGGGAAGGTGTGTACTCTGCATGAGTTTCCTGGAGGGAAGGTGTGTGCTCTGCATGAGGTTCCTGGAGCTGTGAGAATATGTGCTCTGCAGTAGGGAAGCTGGTCAAGGAAGGATCGTTAGGGCCGCCACTCTCTGGGACATTAAAAGGAATGGCAGTATGGTGAAGATGGTTTTTCAGGACGCTCGGAGGAGGTCTAAGGTAGTTTTCGCGGAGTGGTGAAAGGTGTAAAGGTCTTTGGCTGCGAATTTGGTTCGGATGAAGTAAGATGATGTTGGATGCAGCAGGAGGTAAGAAAGGGGGCGGGATCCTCTCATGGGAGAGGCGGTGAGGGTGGCGCTGAAGACGTGGACGGCCAGGATTAATGATCCCTGATGAATGGAAATTAGGTGGAGGATAAGGAGCTGGTTGATGTGGAGGAAAAAAAGGAGATGGTGGATGTTGAGGAAAAGGAGGTGGCGGATGTGGAGGAAGGGTAGGTGGTGGATGTGGAGGAAGAGTAGGTGGTGGAGGTGGAGGAAGGGTAGGCGGTGGATTTGGAGGAAGGGTAGGTGGTGGATGTGGAGGAAAAGAAGATGACGGATGCGGAAAAAGGGAAGGCGGGGGTGTATGTGGAGAAAGAGAAAGAGGTTGGGGAGAGGACCCTTCGTGACGTCCTGGATCAGAGGGGTGAGGGGAAAACCTGTGCGGAAGCAGATTGAAATGTTGGAAGTTCTGAGGTGGTGTGTTGTCTGGAGAGTGCTGATGGCCTCTCAAGGAACCGGCGCTGGATGCAGACTGCAGGAAATTTCCATTTTCTCTCGTATTAACATGAGACATGGCCAGATTGAGACGTTGAGCACCGGAGTCATAATGATCAACAGGTCGAACTCTCGTATCTGCCTGAAGAGACTGATCATTTCCATTTCCATGCTGTTGTATTCTTAGAGGTTCATCATTTTCGAATTTGATAACCTTAAATGCTGGTGCTTTAGTGTGTTCACGAGGTGTCAGGAAGCGCTGCGGAGGACGTGGCTGTTCATGCTGTTTTCTTTGATCTTTCGGTGACTGGGGAAGATTGCTTTGGAGATTTTTTGGGCTTTGACCATCATGGTATTCAGGAAATTCAAAAGGTCTGATTTCCTGGAAGGATGGCGTATTACTCAGTGTGAAATGTGGTATGTTGTCATTGCCGCCTTCTTGAGGTCTTCTGTTATCACTTACAAATCGAGCTTCTCTGCTTCCCAGAAGAGAAAGAGGATTAACTTTTCGTCCAGCATGTTGCTTTTTTCCAGGAAACTTTATGGAAGCATTGCTTTCACTAGCTGGGTCTCTGTGAAATATGTTTACCGGAGAAAACACCGTCACTTCCCTACTGGGAGTGTTGATGTGCACCTGTGAGTGTCCGCCACTGATTTGGGCAGTGACAAAGGGTGTGGCGTTGGTCAGAGCCTGTCGGACCGGAACCTGTGTTTGATTTATTCTTTGAGCAGCAATAACGGTTGGGAACTGAGGCGGCTCGGGTATGTAAGGTTGCAGATTTGGAATTTCAGAAGGAAAGAAGAACGAAACAGGTGATACCAAAGGCTGAGATGTTGGGTGAAAATTAGGTACTCGGAGAGGAAGTGCAATATTTGGCAGTGAAGTTGTAACAGAGTCTGAGGTTGCCTGGTGGGGTTTTCCCTCCGCCAGAATTATACCACTGACTGGTAGCAGCTCATTCGTTTTTTCTTGATGTTTGTAAGTTGTGAGAGCCTGGAAGCTATTGTGGCCCACGAAGGGAAGTTCATCTCTCACTCTCGCAGAGTCTTGATTCTGTGGATCAAATATTCCCTTGTGTGGTTGTAACAGGGAGCTGGGACCTGACTCATCAAAGGAAGGAAGACTCTCACTTATGTTATCACCATCTAAACTCTCCTTTGGGGAATTTTCTTGCGCGAGTAGAGTGAATGAAACAAGAGGAGCGGTGAGCCTATCAGGCAAAAACAAAGAACCACTTGTCACATCACCTTCCTGGGGCGACTCTCTTGAATTTTGATGCAAAGGGTCAGGAAGTAGAAGGTTTTGAAACAGATCAGGTTCTTTAGAAGATGATGAACCGGACGATAACAGAGCTGGAGGAGGTGGAGAGGTATTGTGTGTTGGCGTCTCATGATGAACGTCTAGCAATGGAGAATTAAAGAAAGCGTTTGGGAAATCGTCCTGTGTTCTTTCTTTGCTAAAACTTGAGAGTGAAGGTGGAGGAGGTCGGTCGGGACTGATTAAGGATTCGTTAATCGCTCGTACCTGCAGGTCCTCGTGATCACTGCGAGGATCTTCTCTTTGATCTGTGTGAGCAACATATTCTTCCAGGTTTGTTCTTACTTGAGAAACTTCAGCTGGAATTATTTGCGCGTCAAAACTGTTTTCTGGTCTTTTCAAATGTTGCCCTTTATTCAAGTGAGTAATTTTCAATGGTTCTTGATTCTGACTTATACCAATCGGTGGACCTTGATTCTGACGTATATCTCTCGGTGGACCTTGATTCTGACGTATATCTCTCGGTGGACCTTGCTTATGATGTATATCTCTAGATGGGCCTTGATTCTGACGTATATCTCTTGGTTGACCTTGATTCTGACGTATGCCTCTCGGTGGACCTTGATTATGACGTATAATTTGCACTGGGAGTTGGTTAAACTGCAAATTTTGTGGAGGGCCATGATTTACGCCTATGCTGGCAGGTGATCCATGATTCACGCCTATACTGGTAGGTGATTCATGATTAGGTCGTGTATTCAGCGTGTGTGCTTGATGAGTAAGAGTGACTGGTGGTCGTCTTTGTGTTGGCTGACCGTTAGGCAGTGATCTTTGGTCCGATTGTAAATACTGTACAGGGCGCCCTGCTGTAAACCTATGATGCTGCAGTCTACCTTTTGGATGGATTTCCTGTTCAGCTGGCCTCCTCGAATTATTTTGTTGTTGATATCGCTGCCTCTGTTGGCTATGCTGCTGAGATAATCGAACTGATTGATTCTCGTGCTGTCTTGGATTCGCCTGACTTTCGTGGTGTAGCTGATGATTCGCCTGACTTTCCTGTCGCTGATGATGATTCGTCTGACTCTCCTGTCGGAGATGATGATTCGTCTGACTCTCTTGTTGCAGCTGATGATTCGCCTGACTCTCCTGTCGCAGCTGATGATTCGCCTGACTTTCGTGATGTAGCTGATGATTCGCCTGACTCTCTTGTTGCAGCTGATGATTCGACTGACTCTCCTGTCGCAGATGATGATCCGCCTGACTACCTTGTTGCAGCTGACGATTCGTCTGTCCGTCTTGCTGGAGCCGGTGATTCGCCTGATCATCTTGCTGGAACCGATGATTCATCTGACTCAGGTGATTCCCATCATCACGATGCTTCAAAAACTTTGTTTCCTGAGAGGGAGGGTTGATTCTCTGAGTGCCAAAACTTCTGCTCTGCTCGGTGATTGTCTGGCGGTTTTCTGCGTTGTAGTAGCTATCAGGACTTCTTTCTCCTTCCTGCTCGTGTCCTTGCTTGCCCAAAGTCTCGTGCGTTATGTTGTGCTCAGAGAGGAACTCACTGAAAGAGCCAAAGAAAGGCTGGCCCCTGTTGCTCACAGCTTGTACCTTTGCAACCTTCTTGTCTGAGGGAGCATTACTTTGTTCTCTACGAGGCTCTTTTAGACCTACAACAGGTTGGTGCTGTTGCGATGCAGTTTTTGAATTTGCTGTCGAGTAACTTGGATTTACGCGATCTAAGAGATACTGTCTATTTTGAGGATTTGTCTCATTTCCGGAAGTATGTAAGTTGTCCTTCAGCACCTTCACAGGATCCTGATGTCCCTCGGTGTCCTTCGGAATGACAGAGTGTTGGCGTGCCTCAGCGTCCCTATGGATGGCGCTAGAGGAGTGAGATTCGAGGGCCTGGGCGTCGAAAAGGACAGGCTGCACATAAAGTTGTGGTTCGATATCGTCTTGAGCGTCTGTAAAAGAAAATTTAATTATAGAAGAGACGACAGAAGTGTAGTGAAGAATGCGACTGACATCATGACATACTATTATATAGAAAGTCCCTTGTTATGCTGAGAATTAGGTTAATTTTTGTCCTCAGGATGCAACCTACACCAGTCGACTAACACACAAGTACCTATTTTACTGCTAGGCGAACATGGACAGTAGGTGTCTTTAGGAAACACGTCCTAATGTTTCCAGCCGTACCGGGGATCGAAACCTGGACTTCAAATGTGTGAGCTGAGTGCGCTTGCAATCGATCTACAGCACTCTTGGCTCTCAAAATGTCAAGAAAATAATATTAATATATTCACGGGGAAGTGCCATGCCTTTGAAAGGTAGGGGATCATAGTCATACCTCGCTCAGAGAATGAGAGGTGATCAGGACTGATCCGAGGAAAGGGAGAGTATCTTGTTTTTTGGATCCAGATATCCACACTCACATTCAAATATTTTATTCAGATATTACAAAACTAAAGTTTGAATCTGAAAAATGTAAATGTACAAGGTGTACATACATAAAGAGGTATGTGTGTGTGTCTAGTCTTTTGGAATTAAATATTTTTGATGTTAATGGACAGTCGAAATAGGATCTTAATGACCCACAGACAATTGAGTGATTTTAAATGAAAGAACTAAAGGTGATGATTTATAAATAAATAGTGAGAAATTTTACAATAATGTTTTTTATACTAGGAAAGCCTGGTCATGCTTGAAGGTAATAAATAAATTAACTCAGCAAATTAATACTCAATGAAGATTTTTATTTAGGCTTCGTATATACCTTGAAACTTGTATAGTAGTTGTATATCATAATTTATATAGGCTTGAAGGTAACATGTTACTTACTTCCCTGTTCTTCCTCCAGCGATGACTTCTTTATTATGGCCTTCGCAGATTCGAAGATGTGTTGATGTGTAGCTTCATCTTTCAGGCTCCTACTGTATGGATTTCGAATAATTTTGCGGTTCTGTAGGAAGTCTGTGAGGCGTGAGACCTGAGTGTAACCCTCGACAACATCAACACCTCTGTCTTTCACATGTTTATTTTCCTTTTCTTCAACGATTTTTTGGTTTGGTTGGAGCGGTAGAGTCGGTGGTGCATTGACTGCCTTATTTACCTCTGCACTTTCACTTGTTGGTGCAGATGGCAAGGTAAATGCTTCATAAAAAGTAACTTCTTTATTGTCCAGACCACTACCGGCTGATGTATTTACTATCCAGCTTTCAATTCTATGGGAGGCTAATGGTTCTATGGTGGTTTCGAATTTACTGGTGTCGATTTGTATCTGGTATGGTTCCTGGGTGTCTTCTCTGGTAATGGTAGTGCTGGTGAGAGTCACTACCTCAGGCTCCCGCACGGCTGCCTCCTTCAGGGTCAATAACGGTGCACCAACTGAAACTATATTTTTCACTCCAATTATTGCACTTTTTCTCCTGTTGTCTCCAGTTATAACTTTCGGATAAAAAGCTGTTGATATTTCATGCCCGTCTTGGGTGATAGGATCTCCAGGACCCTTGTGAGGCGGAGGACTTTGTTGTTTCGTTATAAATTTGTTAATTAAAGGGAATTCATATTTGGCCGAGCTTCTGGATACAGGGCTAATGTTTGTAGATGCAGCGTCGTGTGTTCGATCCTGCACGTTATGTCTGCTTTCATGCCTTGCTGAATTTTCAAGAACAAAATGTTTATTATTACTGTGTGTGTGAGCGTGTGTAATGCTGGTGACATGGTGGTTTTCTGTGCTGTTGAGACTAGAGTTCTCCAGTCCTCGTTCTTTCACGCTTTCACTAATCAAGTCTTCAGAGTTTGTTGATGCACTTGTTGAGCTCCCTTCTGTAGCTCTTGAGTTAAACTGATGTTTAACCTTGTAGTTAGCCTGGTGTTCAACGCTCTTGATGTGGTCGGCGATAGTTCTAAAGTGTTTAGTGTGTTCTTCCAAAGGAACAGCGCTCTTAGTGATGTTAATTACTACCGGGGTTGTCTGCAAGGTAGCACCATAGCGACGGTGGACATCCTGCGTGACAGAACTCTGTTCCTTGGATGAATTTGAGCTTTGAATGACGAGGCTTTCATTCCTCCGAGATAGTGGAGGGAGGTCTCGTCTCTTGCCCCATTTAGAAGCTCGAACCGCAGTTTGCTGTCGTCTGTCTAACCTCGAGGACGAATATACTGACTTGCTACCTTGAGGCGATCGAGTGGTCACTGACAAGGGTGTTTTGAGACCTTTATGATCACCTTCACCGCCTGCCACTGAAGGCAAAACTCTTCCACTGCCCCACGAGCTTGTGCCGTCACTTGAATCATTTGTTGGGAGTGAAATCTTTTTTCCTGGGTATATATGCAAGCCCCGCTGTACTTTCCTAATTTCCTTAGGCTCATTTAAAACACCATTAACTTCAGTTTCCCTGTGTTCCTTCAGGCTAACATTCACCCTATCTCTCGTAATCTCCTTCAGGTCACTCCTCGTAGGGTCCGTGTGCTGGATGGTTACACCACCGGTGTTGACCTGGTCCTTGACACTTGCTGTGGCTCGGACACCCTCTTGGGAGATCCGGTCGCCGAAATTTGCTGTAGATGCCACAGCAAGCACCTGCAGCATCAAGATACCTCTCATCCACACCTGCTTAAATAAATGCAAGTGATAAACAAGATCGACATTGAATGATACGTCAGAGTAACCTGGCTGAGACAATTCACAAATATGTACAAAAGTGACACTCGTGCAACGTTAATAAAACAATCTTTATGGTATATATTATTTATGGTTTTGATATATTATCAAAGTCTCATATATTTTGATAATTATGTAACAGTTTTAATATACATGCAAAAACATCAATGACAAGCCTCGTGCAGTAGCAACAATATGTACACCCAGAGTTTTATACTTCTTAACAAGACATATTCACCAAGAGATTTAGATTTATCGGTGTATATGCAATGTGACATATATTTCTGTATTATACACTGAGAGGTATATATATTAAATACACTGGGAAGTGTCTCCTAGTTTATATACAGTGAAAGTGTTTACTGTCAGTACACAGGTGATTAACATCCTTCATGACCCACGTTAAGTCGATAGAATTTAAACTAACCTACTTGCACATAAAAAAAATATGGTAAACGTACATTATACGGGGTTTATGTATTAAACGTTTAGAATAACACAGAAACAGAGAAAAGAGAGGTGAGGTAAGAAGAGAGAGTGAGAGAGAGAGAGAGAGAGAGAGAGAGAGAGAGAGAGAGAGAGAGAGAGAGAGAGAGAGAGAGAGAGAGAGAGAGAGAGAGAGAGAGAGAGAGAGAGATATTCTTGGTTATCTTCGTGGTCACTCAGTCAGGATACATGAACAACTCATAATTAATGTTATTGTGATTATTGAGCATAACTCAAAATGTATACACCGAGAGAAGTGTATTTTTCAGTGTATATAATATATATAATGAGTGGTGGGGGGAAGGTTACGTAGTGTTAATAACACTAGTGTACTTGATAAGCTACGATAAATTATGAAAGATCCCACAAATAAGACAAAAATAAAAAAAATCAATTAACTAGGTTAATGTTAAATTGGCAGCGCTGGACCTGAACACTGAGGTACTGCTTCTGTGGTAACGTTATACTTTTTAACCGTGGTAAATTGACGCTGTTCTGATCCGTCACTAGAAAGCTAATTTGTATACACAAAAATCCAAGTCATGGGTTGGGAAAAATATATATTTTATAAGCTTTCTTCAAGCAGCAGAAGAGGTTAATTAAAACTGAAGTGTAGAGAACTTTTGAAGAGGCTGTGATGGCTGTGACCAGCTCTTGGGTCAAGGAAACTGAGCTACCTTCTCCTTCCTTGGATCAAACCAGGTACTGAATGATCCTTACTTTGGCTTCTCAGTAATACTTACATACTTGTATTGAGGCTTAAGAATAAATATCTTAGAAATCCTTTGGAGATTTTTTTTTAAGTGTAAGAATATTTTAGTTACTAAAAAAACTCGTATATATGAGTCCTTCATGGGCAAAAATATTATTTTATAAAATAGATTAATTTGCATTATTTTCGAAGTAGAGAACGTTCAGAAACTGACGTTGTGGGATGAGTTGGAAGACTGTGTAAACTGAACTGTGTAGCTCAGAGTATACACACCTGTATGTGTATATACACTGAAATATACAGGAGTGGGTGCATACACAAGTGGTGGGGGGGAGGACTATGGTAGCTGCCTGGAGTCGGTCAATGGAGAAAGTGGTTGACAATCTCTCCTTTGGTCTACGTCTACGTGACTGACCGCTGTTTCTCATGGCTTGCATATCTCTCTCTCTCTCTCTCTCTCTCTCTCTCTCTCTCTCTCTCTCTCTCTCTCTTTGATGATAGCCTTTTCGAAATTAAGGTACATGAAGGCCTTTACAACAGTAGTTATGGAACACAGGGACACAGCGGGCCCAAGGACTGGGCCTCAACATTTCTTTAATCTAAGCAAATAACACTTACTGAGCTATTTACAATAACTGATTCAATTACGGAAATAAAGAAAGTTACACAATGAGATCAGTGACTGAGTTAATAAACTGGAATAGTCTATATATCACAGACAAGCCCAAGGAGACTTATTTTTTTGTTATGCTCGAAAATCAGTGTAAACATCATGAAATTAATATACGCACTGCATTATATTATTGATAATAACTAAATTTAGGCTGATTTTAGGTAAGTTGGATATGATTAAGCTTCAGGATGGTTAACTTTGGTTGCTCTATCAGTTTTACCTCAAAATAAGAAAAAATAATGGGACATAAATACCAAACGCTTAATATACTACTCACTGTCAGTGGGGAAAAAAAGGGGAATTTTGGCATCTGTGCGTATAAACTGCGTATAAACCCATTATGTGTCTATTTTATATATTTAAGATCTTGGGTAACCAAAAGATGTCGATAACAAATATTTATTTATTTAGGCTGGGGTGTGTGGAATGTTGACGGGCATGTAAGTTCCCTGTTTTCTAATAACTTGTTCATTTTTCCACTATAATCTACCGTGTCTATAATTACTATCACATTTGCTTTGTCTGTTTCGTAAGGTGAAGTCCAGGATCTTTACTTAATTCTTGGTATAACTTAACAATTGTGTTGCTTAGACCTTTACAGCAACAATTGTCATCAAAGATTTGTTAAGTTACACCATGAATTAAGTAAAGATCCTGGACTTCACCTTACCAGCACAGGACAAAAATATTTTATCCACTGACAACAGGGATTAAAGGTTAGGTTAGGTAAGAATTAGGTTAGGTTAGGTTAGGTAAGATTTAGGTTTGGTTAGGTTAGGTTAGGGAAGATTTAGGTTAAGTTAGGCTAGGTTAGGTTAGATTAGGTTAGGTAAGATTTAGGTTTGGTTAGGTTAGGTAAGATTTAGGTTAGGTTAGGGAAGATTTAGGTTAAGTTAGGCTAGGTTAGGTTAGATTAGGTTAGGTTAGGTAAGATTTAGGTTTGGTTAGGTTAGGTAAGATTTAGGTTAGGTTAGGTAAGATTTAGGTTAGGTTAGGTAAGATTTAGGTTAGGTTAGGTTAGATTTAGGTTAGGTTGGGTTAGGTAAGATTTAGGTTTGGTTAGGTTAGGTAAGATTTAGGTTAGGTTAGGTAAGATTTAGGTTAGGTTAGGTTAGGTAAGATTTAGGTTAGGTTAGGTTAGGTAAGATTTAGGTTAGGTTAGGTTAGGTAAGATTTAGGTTAGGTTAGGTTAGGTAAGATTTAGGTTAGGTTAGGTTAGGTAAGATTTAGGTTAGGCTAGGTTAGGTTAGGTCAGATTTAGGTTAGGTTAGGTTAGGTTAGGTAAGATTTAGGTTAGGTTAGGTAAGATTTAGGTTAGGTAAGATTTAGGTTAGGTTAGGTTAGATTAGGTAAGATTTAGGTTAGGTTAGGTTAGGTAAGATTTAGGTTAGGTTAGGTTAAGCTAGGTTAGGTTAGGTAAGATTTAGGTTAGATTAGGTTAGGCTAGGTTAGGTAAGATTTAGATTAGGTTAGGTTAGGCAATATTTAGGTTAGGTTAGGTTAGGTAAGATTTAGGTTAGGTTAGGTTAGGTAAGATTTAGGTTAGGTTAGGTAAGACTTAGGTTAGGTTAGGTAAGATTTAGGTTAGGTAAGATTTAGGTTAGGTAAGATTTAGGTTAGGTTAGGTTAGGTTGGGTAAGATTTAGGTTAGCTTAGGTTAGGTAAGATTAAGGTTAGGTTAGGTAAGACCTAGGTTAGGTTAGGTAAGATTTAGGTTAGGTAAGATTTAGGTTAGGTTAGGTTAGGTTAGGTTAGGTTAGGTTAGATTTAGGTTAGGTTAGATTAGGTAAGATTTTTCGGGAAACAGGACAAGTGTTTCCTGACGCGGGTGTTAAATCATATGACCCACAGCTGGAGCTTTTGCTCATCTGAAAGAGGCCTTCAGCTGGCCTACCCCTCCACACCTTTAAAAATTAGGGTAAAATATAGGTTAATAGGGATCAAAGTCCGTTCTCAATATACATTGGCTGAAAGAAATACAGTGGACCCCCGGTTAACGAACTTTTTTCATTCCAGTAGTATGTTCAGGTGCCAGTACTGACCGAATTTTTTCCCATAAGGAATATTGTGAAGTAGATTAGTCCATTTCAGACCCCAAACATACACGTACAAACGCACTTACATAAATACACTTACATAATTGGTCGCATTCGGAGGTAATCGTTATGCGGGGGTCCACTACACCTCTCAGTATATGAGTATATCTTGTGAGGTATACATCAGGTATACTTAGACTGGTGATGTACAGGTTATGTAGTCATATATATACATACACACATGTATATATATATATAGGAAAAGCACTCGAGAGCTTTCATGTGCTTACACAGAAACTATCCTACACATATAAGGTATATATAAATATATATCTTACCTTGAGCCCAGCCATGTTGAGAACCTTCCTTCACCTTGACATGATACACACTGCGACCTTGATTTTCCTTCATGGGGATTTTATACCTGGGCTCGTCCATTGTGCTTTCTCGGGGGAGGAGCCTGTCTCTTGTATTATATATATTGTGTTGATGATAATGACTTTAGTTTCCTTCTTCCTTATCATCATCATCATCATCATCATCATCTTCTTCTTCTTCTTCTTCTTCTTCTTCTTCTTCTTCTTCTTCTTATTATTATTATTATTATTATTATTATTATTATTATTATTATTATTATTATTATTGCTTTTTATTTTCATGGAAATTACAAACAGTATTTTAATACTGACAACTTTCACTGTATTCTTCCCACAGTTTTTACACACACACATACACACACATATACACACACATACACACACACACACATACACACACACACACACACACACACACACACACACACACACACACACACACACACACACACACACACACACACACACACACACACACACACACGGGGCCGGATAACATCTCTCCATGGGTCCTGAGAGAGGGAGCAGAGGCGCTATGTGTACCTCTAACAACAATATTGAACTCATGTATTGAAACAGGAAGAATACCTGAAGTATGGAAGACAGCAAATGTAGTCCCAATTTTTAAAAAAGGAGACAGACATGAAGCACTAAACTACAGACCAGTGTCACTGACATGTATAGTATGCAAAGTCATGGAGAAAATTATCAGGGGAAGAGTGGTGAAACATCTAGAAAGGAATGATCTCATCAACAGCAGCCAACATGGTTTCAGGGACGGGAGATCCTGTGTCACAAACCTACTG